AGTGGACTTGACCCGATTGTATTTGTGGACCGAACTTCAGTTCGATCCTGCAACGTGTCCCGTTGTGGAACGGGCGTGACGGGATAACGAAATGCAGATACACAATACAAATATAATCTGAATATGAATTTATCGGGCCGTTATGGAGCGTCAATCGGTCGGTCTTTAGGGTGCAGCGAGTTGCACCGATACGAACGGCCCTTTCGAGCGAGGCCGGCCGGCGTGATTATTATTGAGCGACAACAAAGGCGGATTAATTGGCACGAGGCGCGCAACGTGTGCTCGCCCAGGATGGATGGTTGTTATCGCGAGAGCCTGGTAATTAAGGCGAAAGAATATAAATTGTGGCGGTTGTGAGCGGCGCTATTAGCGCGAGTTCAATGCTACGAATTATATGATTGGCGGAATATATTCCGATACAGCATCGCTCTCCCGCCAGTTCGTTCGTTTTCGCAAAAGGCATTTAATGAACTTCATTCATGGTATCGTCGAGTCGTAACAATCGAACCATTTACCTATCAACTCATAATCGGCAAAATGCGGTATGTTTTATTTATTGGTAATGCAATATTAATTGGCGAACAAAAAGTAAAACATTTTAAAAAAGTAAAACAATTTAAAAAAGAAGAGAAATTTTAGAGAAGCAAAGAAATCTTACGTGGGATGAAAAAAATTTTATACGAGAATCGTTCATTCTGAGAAGAAAATGGATCTAGATATGCACTTTGACATTTATAATCGTTTTTATTGCAGGAAAGTTTAATGATGTTACTTTCCGGGAATTTTTATTTTACTATATATTTAACTTGAAAAAAATGGAGTGCGTCAAAAAATTAAACTTCGCGTGCATGACCTATTCCAGATACATTTTCACACTTTACACACGAACATTTTTATTCTTTCCTTTTGACCTTCTTATTTACATATTTTTCTCATATGTACGGGATTATAATACGAGCAACGTGAATACATGTCTCTGATCGAATTTATTCACATAAAAGAGAGATAAAGTTTATTTTTAAAACAATAACTAGATCAAATTGATTCGCGGATATATCATAAGATAAATTCATATTAAATGTTTTCCGAGTGATATTTTCTACTTCTTTTTCTTAATTTTTCATGTATAGTTATTCGCTCGATTGCACTTCATTATTTATTGCTATTATTATTATTCGCTGATTTATTTCAAACATTTTGATAATCAAACAATGTTTTTCATAAAATTACCTGAGGAAGAATTCTTCAGTATCCATTGATAGCGTTCTTAGTTTTATATACAGATTCACTTCTAGTTACTTATAACACAAATATAATTGTTGCACATTCTATAACTTTGTTCGAGAAAACCAGCTGTTAACTTTTGTCTCAAAACGCTACACTTACAACTTTCGACAGAAGCTTTCGGAACTGAACTAACTATCAAAAGTTTCCAAAGTTATACTTATACACTATAGTAGAGATCAGTATTACAGTAATGCAGTAAAAAGAAAAAAAAAAGCGGCCTTGACTATTATATGATCATTGATCATCGACGACGTATGCCGAGTTAAGACGCCAATAAGATGCAAAGTCGGCAATAGCAAGCTCGAAGTAAGCAACGGGAGAATGAACGAACGAACGAACGAATGGATGGACGGAGGCGGGCAACAATCAGTTGCAGTAAGAAACCTCAGGCCTTTCCCCCGTCGGAGTTCCGGAGAAGCCCGGATTGTTGTTCCCCCGAGATGACGGGACATTCCACGAACTGCTTCACAGCCACGTTTCGCCCTGCTATTCTCCTTCGCCGCTTACTGCGCCGAGCCGTCGGCCTCTCTCTTTCCTTGCTTCCTCTTACGGTGATTCCGGCTTGTTCTTTCTTTTCCCAACGTCATTTCACGTAAGGTATTCTATAAGGCACACTACTATGAATTCGCTTCGTCACATGGCAGACACGCACACGTATTCATCATGAAAAGAATTACTCGTATCGTAAAAAAGAACAAGAGAGGGAGAGAGAGAGAGAGAGAGAGAGAGAGAGAGAGAGAGAGGGAGGGAGAGAGAGAGAGAGACGAAGGCTCACATTAGAGCTCATATTTTTTTATTTTTTTCGTGAAATAAATTGTATGTATTTGGATATCTGCAAATTTTCATTTAACCGTTACTTTTTTCTGAAATGAATTTTATAATTTTTATTCACCTACGTCCGTCAAATTTTTGGTATCTTCTTGCTGCAAACCCAATTTATAGATTGCGTGTAAGAAATACGCAATGTCAAGCAAGATTCGTCTATATCACGCGAACACGTCATCGACATTCTGTAGTGCATAAAAGCGCTGAAGAGCATTGCGAGAATATCGTCGAGTCATATTTCACAATCTTCATTTCCGTCATCAAAAGTCGCGAGCAAGTTGAAATATAAAGAAAATAAAGTACAAAACTTCATTATGAAACAATTATTGTACCTTATAATCACGGTGCTATCTCTCAAGTTTTCAACAAAGATTCCGGAGATTCCGATTTTTCAAATAATGAGAGTTTCGACTCTTTGAGTAATGGAGGAAGAAATTTTTTCGGTTTCTGATCTTAATTTTAAGGCCTTTGTTAAGCCCATGTCATTTTCTTCTGATTTTGAAAAGAAATCTCTGAAAGAGAAGTCCTTAGATCAAAGTCCTTAGATCAAAGTTTAGAAGAGAGAAAGATATATGATTTCTTATATATATACTATCTCATTCTAAGTTATATTGTTTTACCCTTCAATTTTAATTAAAGGATGAAACACACAGTATAAGTTAGAGTGAGATGGTATATATATTATACATTGCAGAGAAAAATTATACATATACAGTGAGTGCAAAAGTACAGAGAAAATATTTTTTTTAAATATTTATTTTTAAAAAGTAAATATTATCTGATGAAAAATAAATCATCAAATTGACGTCGAATCGATATCGATACGATAATTTCAATAATTCAATATCGACATTTAATTGACAATTCATTTCTTGCTGGATAATTAACAATTTATTCATAAAGAATGGATTGTATGTTTCTTAAAATTATACCAAAAAGATGTGCATTAATTATAGAAAATATATCATCTGAAAAATAAGCCAAAATTAAAAATTTTATTGTTCGGATGCTCAAAAAGTATTCATACAGTCGAGAAATTTGGTTTCTAAATTCAGGAACACATGTGAAGTTTGTCTATGTTAGAACAGAATATATTTATTGTATAGAATGACTAATGTTTATTTTTTACAAATAAGACTTTTTTATAACAAATTTCCTTGCACGAATACTTTTTGCTCTCACTGTATATCTTTCTCTCTCGTAGAACGTTGACAAAATCGCTCGTAGTCAGATTTTATTAAAAGGTCTCTATGAGAAGAATTTATGAAGAATCAGATTTATGATCTTTTTTTACATAACTACAAAACAGTAAACGTTTTGACAATAGCAATCGATCTCCGACAGGAAAGCCGTTCATTTTCAATGAAACATTATATTATATTTAGTTAAAAAATGGCAATCATATGCACGACATGTATAATTTCTTTATAATTTCTTTCGAGATAAAAACTTTTTCTTTTTGCGCGGTATATATGCGAAATTTCAACGAAATAATCTTTTTGGGAAGTCGAAGTTTTCGTGCTATCAACGTTCTCGCTTTTTTTTTTCTTTCCTTTGAAGGATTCGAGCGCTCGGCGCCGTTTGCGGCGAGGGTCAAAGGCGCAACGGCGAGCGAGGACGTTTTACTTAAGGTCACTGTGTTAACCGTGCCGCGAGGATTTCATTAACGCCTCGATCGCGACCAGCTGGCGCGCGCGGATGGAGAAGGATGATGTTCTCGGGACACTTAATAGACCAGACGAACAGCCTCTCTCGGCCGGACGAGGTACTCCGTTCGATATGAACGCCTCGATGAGCGATTCAGCGTAAAGGGTCATGCAGCGGAATACAACGACAAGGATACATCTGCGCCCTTCTAAGTTTTCAAGGAGAAAGAGAGGGATTTCATTGAAAAGTAATACCGACCGTATTGCATCTAAACTCAAATGTATATATGCATTGAAAATTCTAGTAATGCACAAACAGATCTTAGCATTTGTTTTTTTCCTTACTAAAATATTCACACGCTGCTAAATATCGAATTCTCGCTTATCTTTATCTAAATGTTTAAATATTATATACCTCTTTGTATTTCCCGTCGAGTAGATCCTCTTTCGCTTGAAAAGGCAATGAACGGCTCGTTTGCGAAATAGATTTCATCAAATATGTTTGGTATAACATGCACGTTGCAAATAACGACGCGACGCAATATTGTGAAACGACCGAGCAAGGCACAGCAGAAATCCGATCGCAAAAGCAAGATCGCATGCGCGTGCAGGAGGTCAGAGCTGATGGAAAAGTCGTCGTCGCCGACTGGATTTATCGGCCATGCCGATTCATCGAAATGTCGCCGTCGGTGTCACGATATTTCTGATATTACGACGAGGATAGTCTCGTGCATTGGTCGTGAAAATATAAAAAAAAAAGAATTAAATTTAGAATTCTATTATCTCATTTATGTTTCTCATATCTTGCACTCTCCTCTACTCTTCACACGGCGATACGTACTGCGGAGATAAAGAAAAAAGAAAGATGAGATAACGATGTATTAAATGGAAAGATATTTTAAATTTTTAGAAAAACACAGTTACATATATCACACTTGGTTACAATATCGTCATTTGTGTAATCGTCGGTTATCACGCGACCTCTCATTTCAACTCGAAGGATTATATGGTTCGACGTAACGGCAATACTCCCGGCGATTATACTGCCACGCATGATTGCCTCGTATGCACGATACCTCTCCAGAGATTCTCCCGGAAGCAAATCGCATACGTGATAACGTGAAAAGCCCGTCACGCGTGTAGGAATACGAGCGAGTTGTACGAGCAAAGCGAGTACGGAAGTTCAACGAATCAGAGATAACGATTGCAGAAAGTTTCTAGTTTTAGATTTCATTGCTTCAGAACGTTGTTAAGAAATCTCAAATAATAATAATAATAATAATAATAATTTTGTTACGTGCACTTACAAATTGGATTTAAAAAAATGTTTGAAATTATAAAAAAAGAAAGGACAGAAAAATATATATAAATCTTTGATAGAATATAATGTCGAAATTTGATAATTAGTAATTATCGTTGTTAGCTAAAAGTTTGGGAGAATCTTTACGATGTCTTTATTTCTGTAATTCTTAATATTTTAATTTAGTTGATATTAAGCGCTTAATATTAGGTCGCTTGATAGGAAGTGTCACATCAATCTTCAATTTGACTTCATGAACATCGAATAAGTAATTGAAATATCTGTGATCATATTCCCTATGCTATCCTCAAGCAATCAAATATTAAATTTGCGATTTAATTCCCTGGTGAAATTCGAGATTGTGGAAATGATCGGAAATCGAAAGTCCTTTAGCGCTGTCATAATTCTCATGTTTAATTTGACACGCTGATATTTATCTGTCTTCCGTCTCTCGAACGTGCTCTTTCCAACTATCGATTTCATTCAAGCTATGAATAGTAAGTTGATGAAATTTATTACTCCTGATTTGCTCCGCAATAATATGGCAAAACTCAAAAAACTTCCGAGATCCAAATAATTTCGAGATGACACCAACGTTCGGATAATTTCGTGCATGTGTCCGAACGATTTATCAGACTCATTTGAGATCTGACAGAAAAGATCGCGAGACTCGTGAGGATCCTAGAGAGAGAGATGGGCTTTCGAGTATGGAACTTTCGGGTGAGATGGAAATATCCATGGAATTTTCGTTGTCCTCGGAATGTCCGTATTAAGAGTTCGTGGCCGACGTCATGTCTGGACTTTTGACGTTTGCTAAGATAAAGCGAGCTCTCTTGGCGTTCATTCTTACGTAAGCCAGCGTCAACGAAGCGTTATGTTGCTACCGTTTAGCGCATAATGTTAGACGAAATCGCGCAACCTGAGCGTGACACCTTCGTATCGTATGAGAACCTTGAAGTGGTAACACGCAGGTGTAACGAATTTTCTTCTTTCTTCTTTCTTTCTTGTATAACACCTTTGCGCGCACCTGTCGGTCTCGGCGGCGGCCTTAAGGAATTCCTGCGGGACAACACAAAGTTATTGTCTCGCGCAGCGCTCAAAGGCTGGTAGTAATATATTATTTTAATTGACATTATGCAAAAACGAATTAATTCGCAAAATTAAAAGAAATGAGTTACACGCAGCTGAAGCGACAAAATGAAACTCCGCAAACTTTACTAAGAGAAATAAATTTGATATGAATAACATCATTATTTTGTTGATATGTAAAGTACAAAAAACTTTCTTATTTTTTAATTAAAAAATAATGTTCCAATCAAAATGGTTATTCTAAATTCGATTTTTAGAATAAGACAATTTTTAAATTGTCTTATTCTAAAAAAATAAAATAAAAATAAGTAAAAAATACGTAAAAAAAAAAATAAGAAACTTCTTAATGTAATTCACATAATAACAAAATAATGATTATTCATATCAGATATTTCTCTCAGTGTTGTTAAACAATAAGTTTAAATTCTTCACATATATTTTTAATTAATGTAACTATGAAGATTATGGCATACACAAAAAAAAACTTAAAAAATAAGACGAAAACAGTCAAAGCAAACCAAGATTTTTTTAGATTTGTTTCTGCTTACATTGTTGCCTTAAATTTCTACTGTAATTGGTCAATTCGCTTACTATTTATGTCTTACTGCTCTCTTTACACTTTTCGTGTGCCTTAAATGACTTTATAAAAATAAAATAGAATCGTATTTTATTATTATGTTGGAACTATTCATCAGTTCTCTTATTTAATTTCTAGAATAGAACAGAAGTGAAAGTGAGATAATTCTGAGACACCCTTTGCATCTATTGACTCGTGTGCGACGTTATCGCAACCAAGAAGCGCATCGTCATGATGCGTTTTTGTTGAAGATTGTGTTTTAACAGTGTTTAACGCACTGGAATGCAGTCGTTTCGAAAACTCGTTGCATTTTTAGAGTTAACTGATCCGGTTTTATCTATTTGTCCTGATAACGTTTAAATTACTAAAATCTTCAAGAATTTTCAATGATTTACGATTTTACAACCATGATGCCTCATGTCAAAACAAACGCCATGTTATGTAATTAATCTTTTCATCTGTGATTAAAAATAAATGTGTGACTTTTGCTTTACACACATATATATTATATTCTAACTTGTAAATTAAAGAAATGTCAAAAAACACAAGCACGTTTATCTTTAAAAATAAACTAATTTATTACAATATACATTAAGAATTAAATTATTAAATTAGTTTTTTATCTATAAATTAATGAAGCGTTTCGACTATGTTAAGTCTTCTTCAGTCCATTTACAAAAAATTAAACATTGGAAAGAAAGATATAATATATTAAAAACATGAATGATTAATTTATAAATAAAAAACTAGTTTAATTCTTAATGTATGTTATATAATAATAAACTAGTTTATTTTTGAAAATCTAATAAACGTTGCTCGTGTTTTTGACCTTTCTAACTATTAATTTTTGCTAATCTCGATTTATATATTTTAATTAATTTGAAGATTTACATATATTTTGAAGAAATCGCGTTTACTCCCAAACAATAAAACTAATAACGGCAGAGAGACGTTCTTATTTTTTAAATTAGATTAAAATAAAAATTTGTTTTCTTATTTTTTTAAATCAACGACTCGTCTTTGTCACATCAAGAGATAATTAAATTTTTCGCAAACGATGAGAACTTAATTTATTATCTTCTGCGCCTCTATATACCGACTGAAGTGCTCCAATGCATCTTTTTTATAGTGTGTGCGATGATAAAGTGTTTTACACGCGTTGTACGTCGCATCGCAATCGGTATCAATTATATCTTTATTTACCTTTCGGTTGTTTACGCCGCGGAAACCTGGTTTCTCAGTTATGCAGGCGTTGAATCACGCATGATAGATACTTTTTTTTTTCGATATCTCCAATTCGGCCGGACCCACGCCAATATTTTATTTCGCCGTTTGTTTCTCTCGGTGACTCATTTATCAGCGCGGGTGCACTTGTTGAATCTCGCATATTCGCTCGTTTCTTCTTGCTTTCTCTTTTCCCTTTCTCTCTCTCTCTCTCTCTCTCTCTCTCTCTCTCTCTCTCTCTCTCTCTCTCTCTTTCTCTTTCTATCTCGTTCTCTCTGTATTTCGCAAGCATGCGTTCCAATTCAGTTGCGTGGGTGGAATATCGTTTCCTTTCGCATGTCCTTTTACAAAAACTCTTAATTTTCACAGCCGAGGCGTATCAAATGCGAGACATGTTTGCAGTCTCAAAATATTTGTAGAATTGAACATAAAGCTATATATTTATATTATTTATCAGAAATTTCCTCTTTCCATATGTCTCTCTCTCTCTCTCTTTCCTTCTTCCTCTTCTCTCTTTCTACTTTTAAAGATAAAAAAGAAAATCAATAATTTATCAACGTTTCTTTTCTGTGTCTAATCGTATATTATTGTCATAATTTAGACGTAGATCATCATAGACATGAATACACTCTTGAATAAATACAGCGATATAATCACATAATGTATGATGCTTATTAATCGTATGGATGGCTATAATATTACGAGATTTGTAATCAAATATTTTTTGGATTACAAGAGAGAACATATAATAAGTATACCTACCTTTGCCCACACAGATATATGACCGGTTCGTTTATCAATTGCTGAGGAGTGCTCGAAATGGCCTTTTAAACGCACGCAGACGATAGACAGGTAAGTAGAAAAAGTTGCGCTTCCATTCTCCACTTGTGAACGCGCGAAGGGCTCTCAATGAACGTCGAACGAACGATTTATGGAGCCATGTACATACTTGTGCATTGATATTTATAGATTCTTATAGAGTTACATATATATTTGTATTTTATCTTTATGCGATTGACAATTGAACGCGACGATCTCAGATTATGAAATTGTTTATTTACGTATTTGAATAAGATTTCAATAGAATGATTTCACATTTTATCCTTTTATAACAAAACATAGAATA